GTCCGGATTTCCCTCCGTTTGTCCGCATTGCTGCAGAGTTGCGCAGCAGATTTTCCAAAATAAGGCAACGGACGCGTAAATGGCCTAAATAGGGTTTATGCCATTTGTAGGATTAATCATAATGGATGACTAAGGCTGAAGTAAGATCCAAAGGAAATAGATTAATAAAGCTTAACGGAAAAATAATGAACGCCAGTGCTGGTTTAGTATAAATTTAAATGGGAGACATTTGTATCTCAACGATTCTGAGGCCGTTGTCGCCGTTTCAAATGGAGATGTCACTATTTAAAACATTATTTTTTATTTTATTGTGTTGTACAGCTATGGGACGTACCACGGAAATTTTTTTGACGCAGGCTTTGATTCGGGTGTGTTTTGGTTCTTTAGATGCGCAAATCTTCCTGTTTTATGCCCGGATGTTGGCACAAGGCCTCACCAGCCTGCCGGCCTGGCCGGAGCACAACAGATATGTTGTTTTTTTTATTTTATCCGTGCTGTTTTTTGACCGTGACTGCTGGTTTTTATTAGAATCGAGCGGTCAGATCTCGACCATGGTCCAAAAGCAGGCGAGTTTCGTCTGTTTCAGTAAGCAGTCTTTTTAAGGAAGTCTATTCCAAAAATGAAAAGAATTTTAAAAAAGAAAACGAAACGTATTACCTTAAATGGAAAAGCACTCCTAACTTAAGAACAATCAAAACCGTTTTTTAATACTGTTTTTTTTCTATAAGCACTAGTATTCGAAATTTCATAAAACGTCAAATGGATGGTTAATAATTCAAATGTATGCAATGTTCATTAGTCAAATATTCTAATGATCAGACATATGTAAAATAAAGCCACGTATACAGCAGTACAATAAAATAATTTTGTTTTATTTTTTACGATATATTATTATTCATTAGATTTCTAATAGATTAGGCAAAGAGAAGTGGATCAAACTTAAATACACTCAAAAAAAGAATGTGATCCTTTCTAAATGTTTGTTCTGTTTTTTTTTATTCTCATTTATTTACCCAAAATGAGAATAGAAGTGAATTGGTTGAGCCAAGTCTTTCTTGGCAGATAATCTAATTGTCAAAGTCCAGTAAAAGATTAGTTCCAGCAAAGCCAAGTGCACATTCTCCAGGATGAAAAATATAACACAGTCTTCCATCCTCACTGGGAGAGTCCACCAGCAAAAAGACAAATAATTTCGAAAAAATAAATATTTGAACCGAGAGAACAAGGCTTGTTTTCTTGAAAAATGAATGGAGGTTTTGTAATTGATGCTACTTTAGGATTAAATCCAGATTTCACACATTAGGAGACCAGTCTCTTAATCCCTATTGTACCTTACAATATGTTACTTAAAATTGTAAATAAAACTTGCTGTCCCTTCTTTTCAAACAAAGATGTGATTTTCGACTCATATTGTATTATCATACAATATCATATGTATTATCATACAATATCATATTATCATATTGCCCATGACAAAAATACAAACAAAAACTACTCAAAAGGCAGTGAAATTTGACTTGATGTTTTGTCTTCTTCCATAAAAAAATAGACTCGATGTATTTGTGTACACTTTATCGAAGTGGAGTACTAGAAAGTTGGAAAAGTCCTCACCGTTCATTTTCTTTCAATATTTAATTTATTGTGGGTTAATGAAACGGAAATAACATTAGCATCAGGATTGCTCATCAGCTGTAGTATATATCATGAGCCTATAGGCCTATCTGGAGTGCGTGTGCGTGTAAGCGAATGAGAGGAGAGTTTTATTGGGCCCATAACTCTTCAGGTTCCAGAGGAAGCTCGGAGCACTAAAGTTGAAGGCCAACTCTCGGCGCACTGCAGCCGAATCTCGGCCCGCTGAGCTGGGAGTTGGAGGAAAAGCCTTCGAATAACCGTGAGACGCCTCAGGATCACGGTTTTTTTTTAAACACCACGTGGTGAGGTTTGTTGACAGGTGTGTGTTTGATGAGCTGAGCAGGCCACCAATCGCAGATCGCCTCACCTGGATTTGACTTCAAA